GAAACACACAGCCAGGCAGACGAGCTCCGAGCCAGCTCCCATGTCAGAGGATGAAGAGAGCACATCCAGTTAGTCACAGGACAACACTGCAAAACAGGCCAAGTTTCAACATCTATTAACAAAGGTATTGATGACAGCAGCAAAGCTGATATTTCTCTCCAGGATGGAGTCACAGCCAAACAGGAACAGACCAGATGAAGCTACTATGAGAAAAAAGAAGACAGAGCAAAGCTTTAGAGATGTAACTAACAGAGCCTGCAGAATGGGAAAATAGAGATAGAATAAGCAGAATGATGAAAGGGGTCCCTATGTCCCCAAGCAGTCTAAGCCTATAGCAGCATAATTGCTGAGTACAATTTCCTTTCCTTGAGAGACTGTACATCCATGAAAATTGTGCAGGGTTGACATTCAGGCAATTGGCTCCTTCCTGCTGGGATCTATATGTGTTTATGGTGAAATTATCAAAAGTAATATTATATTTATCTGTTTCAGGGCTCTTAACTAGTCAGCACATCTGCCACGAGCGAGTTGGAGGGATCTAACCAAAGTTTCTTATTTTCACCACAATTAAAGTCACTTCATCACTATTTTCTATCTAGTTCAATACAACTGCTGGTGACCAGGAGATCAGGAATTTAGCAATATTATGTGCTGCCTTCCTCACGGGGGGGGGAGCCAAATTAACCAATTTAAAGTTGTTTAGATCTGCTTAAAAGAATAGCTAAACAGGGCTGTTAAATTTTGGGCAGAAGATGAGATTTTGATAAGAACAGTAAAGTTTATAAGCAGCATCAGTCACAAAATCCAGTGTTGCTTTCTTTTGCAACATGTAGGGTAGCATCTGGTTGGCAACCCATTCTCTAATGCTCTAATTTTGTTCCAATATGTTCAGTTCTATTAGGTTGAAACTGTGGAGGCCCTTGGGTTGAAACTGTAAAGGCCCTTGTGGTACATTGAATTCCCTGTTATGTTTAGGAAAACTGTTTGGGAAAATTTAAGCTTTGCGAGGCTGTGAATTAGCTGGTCTTTTGTGTTTAAAAAGTGGACAGTTGTTTCTAAGGACTCCAAAGGGTCCATAAAAAATGTTTCCCTCACCGTTACATCACATCCAGCAGCAGCAGTCTGAACTTGAAACACACGAACAGGTCCACCTCTTGGGGGTCATTTGGCTTCTTTTGTCAGCCTGCAATGCCCCATACTTGCTCTATGCCATACCAATGCCCGATACCTGTCTATGTCTCTGAAAGGGGAGTCGTTAAAGCGAATCGTTGAGCCCTTTCCGCTATCATGGCAACTTCAACCCGTTTACAGGGGAACAGAAAACCTCACCTATTCAGCCAGACCAACAATTCCCTTTAACAACCCCCTTTCAGAGAAATAGACAGGTATGGTGCTGTCATGATTTTTCTAAGGCTCTGACCCACATGCAGTGAAGCCAAACAGAGAGACACAGAATTAAAGTTCAACAGATTTTATTGGAGATATTTTGAGTTCAGTGCAGAGTTCCTCCGAACTCTGCTCAGCCGGAAACTGGAAGACGAGGGGAAGACAGACTGTTAGATTGAAGCTCAGTGGGAAATTGGAGTTGTTAATCTTGAAGGAGAGGATTTATTGCCACTCACGTTTCCAGAGAAGAAGAGACACGTAGACTCCAGTCTGTGAGTCAGTCTTCCAGAGTTTGTTTGATTCGGTGGTGGACGGAACAGGGTTCACCCAGAACTCGGACGGAGTGGGACGATGCAGCCGCTGGTTGCAACTCAGTTTTCCTGTGGTACTTGAACGGGTCGTGGTGAAGATTTCCTTACTCAGAGAGTGATCTCAGCATGCTCAATGCTTTTGAGCCGTCGAATCCAGCCCCTTTGAGCAGTCGAAAGGCAAAAACAAAGTTTGGTCTCAAGAAGAAACAAGCGCTCAGTAAAAACTCAATGTGATCTCAGCTTGGCTAGAGAACTGAAGCTCTGAATGCAAAAACTCAGATTGACTGAGAATAACAAGGCTTGGCTAGAGTACCCTAAACTGGCAAACACTCTGGCGGCGAAGTAGTGGCAACCAGCAGCTGAAGAGCAGTCCGGTGATGAGGCAACAGCTTGCAGGTGTGTGAGGAGGCGAACCGGAGACAGGCGCCTCCTGGTGGTGGAAGGGAGAAACACAAAAGACAAGACAAACAGACGAACACAAAAACTGGGATCCTGACAGGTGCATTGCAGGCTAACAAAGAAGCCTAACAACCCCCCATTCCAAAGGGGTGGACATGTTCGTCCGGTTCAATTTGCATGTTTTCTAAACAAAAACAAGGCTTTGTTAAGCTACTGTATAAAGCTTCGAACTCAATGCTATTCCTCATATTTTGAATTGAAATATCTTCCTGGAAGGGAAGCAACATTTTCCAAATGGGCAACTTTTTTAAAATCTCAGCTTACTCCCTCTAGCAGTGCAGCCTGCTACAGCTGTAGCTCAGCAGCTTTACAATTTCAGATACGGGGGTTCAGAAATAATAATGGTATAATGCAAACCTTATTAGTAAGAAATGCAGCAGTTATTTTCCTATAACTTCAAATCCGTTTACCCTCCCCCCTCTGAAATCTATTTATTTTATGGTCCAGACTGTTCTGAATATCTGCTCCTTTTAACACCATCTCCTATTAATAAGTGAGACAGTTGTGCTCAGTTACACTTTATCAAGTCTTTCTGTGTTTCCTACGTGTTGCCACTATGTAAATTCTCAGATTTCCTCCCAGGTGTATCTGTTAAATTGCCTGTTTACACTAATAGTGGGCCTAGTCCTTTACCTTTGTTATTAGAATGTAATCTTAACCCTTCTGATCTGATAAGAGAGTAAGACATTTAACAAATTCTGCTGGTTTTTCAATTGATTATTGGACCTAATTTCTAATTTAGGAGATAAATGAAAATCTGCATGGATAGTTTACTATTTTGTAACTGATGCCTGTCTTCTTTCTAAGAGGTATTGCCCAGAATTACTTTTGAAGCAAAGATTGAACAGTTTTTCATTTTGCTGTAGTTTTACTTGTTTGCAATTACCTTCCTAATAATTAACTCAAACAATTCTTCCAGCTACTACTGGAGGCAGATTAAGTACCATCAGAGGAACTTGCACCACAGTTTATGAACCATGACCTTAACATGCAAATTATTGTGTTTTTTTGCAGATGCCTTTGTTGGAGGAGTGATTGGTTTGCTGTTTGCTTACATCAGCTACCGGCAGCACTACCCACCCTTCCTGCACACGGACTGCCACCTGCCTTATGCTAGCTTGGCTGCCACCAGAAAAACACCCCCATCCCACCAGGATGACCCGCAGCCCATTGAAAACGCCACCACCCTGCCTATGGAGGGTTTGACTGAAGGGCCGGTATGACTAGTGGCCCCCACCGAGACAACCTCCTCCACTCCCACTAAGTCCCCCAGCCCATCTCCTCATTCCTAGTGAATGATTGGCTTTAATATACATTCCAGGGGACCAACCATTTCCAAATGTTAATTATTTGTCTCGGTGACATGCACATTCTTTTTTTTTTTTATCTGGTTTTTGCTCAGCGCTCAGACGTTAAAGTTTATATTTAGATGTAAGAGGAAAGTCAGAATATGGAGCATATCCTCTGAGAAAGAAGAGAGAAAACAGGCTGAAAAACCTGGGGATATGTCATTTTCATGACTCTGAGAAAAGAGAAGAATTTCTCCACTTTTCTGCGGAAGCTTTTTTTTTTAATTAGAGGCGTGGTTTTAATGTTTTATGATGCTCTAGATTCATTTTTCTTGGTGTTGAAAGTTTGATATAAAAAAAAAAAACAAGTCCCATTGAATGTCTCTACAGTTAAACCATAAAATGAAGTGTTTACAGCTAAAGGATTAGTACAGCTAGTTAGAAATTACATGACAGTTACAGGAAAGCAGTGTTTTTGTCTTAAATACAAGGTCTTTCTGCTAACCGGCCCTGCTTTTGATCATTTTTCAGTTGCCCATGGCAACATAATGCTAATCAAAGAACTGAAACATCAGAGGATGGTGGCACATGTCAAAACAAAGTTCAATATTCCATTACTTCCCACTCTCCAGGGCTAACAAGAGCTGCACATCTCCTTTTTTTCAATGATCTCACTCTCTCTCTGAAACCTAATTTCATTTTTCATACAAGCAGCATTTAACACATGTCCACAGAGGTTGCACAGGGACATGGACCCTCAATGAGTGCAATCAATTACGAGCAGGTGGGATTGGGCAGGCAGAAGAGTGTCTCGATAGGCACAAACTCCAATCTGATCCTGCATTAATCCTCATTAAGTAAGGTCAGCCTCTGCTGCTTATGAGGATATTAGGACGGTACAAGACATCATGCTAACTCCCAGAGCTTTGCAAATGTTTTCTTGCTTGCCCTCTCACCCAAAAAAAGACAATCCAGCCTTAAGCACAAGCCAGATGATAACTTGGGATTGTGATTTCGATGTATTATTCATCAATTAAAGCTTGATTATTTCTTAATATATGAACCGTCTTCTGAAGAAAGATGACACCAAAGATTCTGGGAAATTTTCCTGCCTGGGATATAGGTTTTATCAACGGAGATGACATCTAACAAGATTACTGCCCCCTCCCCAACCCTTTCATATTATCTACAAACCAATTTGTCGCCCCTTGCGGGCTGTTAGAAATGATGAATCACTTTCTCGTCTTGGTTACTGGCTGCTTTTTGTCATTGCGGTGACATTGATGGGAAGATGCTATTTAAGGTCACCTTTAACCCTGCTGTAGGCAGTTGGGTCCCCGAAGACACACACTTTAAACAAACATCACATAAAAGCATGTGATGTTTGTTTAAAGGATATTATCCTTTTTGCATACTTTCCTTTTTAACATTCACAGCTTTAGTAGTTATAATCATTATTTCTGCTGCCAAAAAGTGAAACCCTCTGGGTCTTCTCTGGCATAATGTGGAAAACTAAATAAAGAATGTTGATATGTTCAAACTAAAACATTTTAAAAGCTTTTGTTTGCACAGTTATTTGTGCTATTCACATTTATATTAAAATAGTAGAATCTCCACAGTAAGCTTAATTCTTTTGGAAATAATTTGGGGAAATTAAAGTCATATATAGATTTGGTATTTTTCATTCCATTTAGATTTAAAGGATAGAGGACCATCTTTTATTTCTGAATAAGTGGTCCTCCTAATTGTGGATCGTTCTGGTGATACGTTGACGTAAGCCCTATGTGTGCAACTGTTAGCTATCTTTTTCTGCGCATGCACACTTTAAGCCGCATATGTGTGGTGAGCTATGGGTTCAGACAGTCATTGAAGCTCACCTTTTTTACCAGTTCGTTGAAAATAGCTGAGGGTTGTAAGAGTAAATGTGTCTATGAAGTGTATGAGAAGGAAATAAAGTCATCAGAGGAGGCAGATATATTCCAGAATGCTTTGCAAGGATCTCTTCACAAAAGCATTATGGGATTTGCTGTTACAGCGGACGTGGTCTCCTTAGGCTGTCGCTATTCCGCAGTGGCGACTAAGAAGGAGGAGTTACATTCACCTGACTCCGCCAGATAGATTTACTCCGCATATC